ACTCATGCATATGGTTATTAGTTCATAAGGTTTTGTGAAAAAAGGTAGGGACATTTTAAAACATCTCTTCACAGCTTTCTACCCGAGATCCACTACCCCTGTTATAAAAATTAACCACTGTAGGCAGGGTGTTATAAAAATTAACCACTGTAGGCAGGGTGTTATAAAACTTTACCCCTGTAGGTAGAGTGTTATAAAACTTTACCCCTGTAGGTAGAGTGTTATAAAAATCTACCCCTGTAGGTAGGGTGTTATAAAAATCTACCCCTGTAGGCAGGGTGTTATAAAAATCTACCCCTGTAGGTAGGGTGTTATAAAAATCTGCCTCTGTAGGTAGGGTGTTATATAAATCTACCCCTGTAGGTAGGGTGTTATAAAAATCTACCCCTGTAGGCAGGGTGTTATAAAAATATACCCCTGTAGGTAGGGTGTTATAAAAATATACCCCTGCAGGTAGGGTGTTCAGGTAGAGTGTTATGTAATCATTTATCAAAACACAAGATTCTTTTTCATTTATCGACGCCTAACTTGGCGATTTTCTGATTATAGCCAAAGCATTGAATTTCTATCCAAGCCAGAAATAATTTTATGTAACCCCAGACCGATGCTATATATAAAACTGATAACTAAAACCAAGTGTATATTGAAGTTACTGAATGACATTTTATAAACCAGGAGAAGACAGGTCATGCCTAGAGATAGGTAAGTATCCCCACTGTGACTATAATACTGTAGCATTATTTCTGTTGGCATTTTATCATTGATATTGGATTATTCAGTCATTCGTTATTGAAAGGAGGATCCGTGATTTCCGAGACTAGTTTTAGACAGTGTGATATACACAAACTTTAAACATGACATGCAACATTCGTTTTTCTGAATGTGAATTTAATTAAGGAATTGAAAATGTTCATATATCATTGTATTATTTGGATTGTATTCGTAAGAAAGTGGACAGAAAATCATGAGAACAAACTAACGTCAGGTTAGTGTATAGGATGATACCAAACTTCTCTCCCTGTCGTACGTCAGGTTAGTGTAAAGGATGATACCAAACTTCTCTCCCTGTCGTACGTCAGGTTAGTGTAAAGTATGATAACAAACTTCTCTCCCTGTCGTACGTCAGGTTAGTGTAAAGGATGATAACAAACTTCTCTCCCTGTCGTACGTCAGGTTAGTGTAAAGGATGATACCAAACTTCTCTCCCTGTCGTACGTCAGGTTAGTGTATAGGATGATACCAAACTTCTCTCCCTGTCGTACGTCAGGTTAGTGTAAAGGATGATAACAAACCCCCTCCCTGTCGTACGTCAGGTTAGTGTAAAGGATGATAACAAACTTCTCTCCCTGTCGTACGTCAGGTTAGTGTATAGGATGATAACAAACTTCTCTCCCTTTCGTACGTCAGGTTAGTGTAAAGGATGATAGCAAACCTCCCTCCCTGTCGTACGTCAGGTTAGTGTAAAGGATGATACCAAACTTCTCTCCCTGTCGTACGTCAGGTTAGTGTAAAGGATGATAACAAACTTCTCTCCCTGTCGTACGTCAGGTTAGTGTATAGGATGATACTAAACTTCTCTCCCTGTCGTACGTCAGGTTAGTGTAAAGGATGATAACAAACCCCCTCCCTGTCGTACGTCAGGTTAGTGTAAAGGATGATAACAAACTTCTCTCCCTGTCGTACGTCAGGTTAGTGTATAGGATGATAACAAACTTCTCTCCCTTTCGTACGTCAGGTTAGTGTAAATGATGATAACAAACCTCCCTCCCTGTCGTACGTCAGGTTAGTGTAAAGGATGACACCAAACTTCTCTCCCTGTCGTACGTCAGGTTAGTGTAAAGGATGATAACAAACCTCCCTCCCTGTCGTACGTCAGGTTAGTGTATAGGATGATAACAAACTTCTCTCCCTGTCGTACGTCAGGTTAGTGTAAAGGATGATAACAAACTTCTCTCTCTGTCGTACGTCAGGTTAGTGTAAAGGATGATACCAAACTTCTCTCCCTGTCGTACGTCAGGTTAGTGTAAAGGATGATAACAAACCTCCCTCCCTGTCGTACGTCAGGTTAGTGTAAAGGATGATAACAAACTTCTCTCCCTTTCGTACGTCAGGTTAGTGTAAAGGATGATAACACACATTTATCCCTATAGATTAGTACATTTTGATATGATTAGTAAATTCCGTGAATTAAACAGGATAAGCTATATGGGATATGAATATATTACGAAGTATGCGCGGTTCAAGCAATACGCTGTGTTCTCCATGTGCTTCCCAATCATCGTTTGATAAAATGCTAGTTTGTTTTCTTCACAAATTGGTTAAAACCGGTACATGTGCAATGGAAAGTCCAGTGAGAATAGACACCCAGACAAATTCGTTAACAAATATACTGTAACAATGTGTCCGCTAAAGGACAATTACGTCACAAGCCTGACGTATGGTCAGAGAAGTGGTGTTGACATAGTTGATTAACGCCACGCTGACCACGGTCTCGTGTATTATGAATACAGACAATGACGACAATGACACCAAGAACGGAGAGTCTTTACTTAAAGGTAGGCTTACAGTTGTGATTATCCGGGGATACGTAAATAATTGGTGTAGTATTACAGAAAATGTAACACGTGAGTAATGCTAGGTAGAAAGGTCAAAATGGCCTCCCTATAGAGCGTATTAATGTCATCTGTCAAGAGGTTTCCCTGTATATCACACCTTCCTTATTTAATGGTCTCCCTGTAGAATATCGTCTGACATTAACCCTCTCTGTATAATACATTTGCTGTCAGGTCATTGTGTAAATGAAAAAAAGGAACAAAAAATATATAATGCCAATAACCCTGAGGATAGAGCATCATATATGACAGTCATTCATATCGTGGAACACTGACAACAGCAGAATACCTAGATTGGCAATAACAGAAAACAGGAATTGCCAGTAGTAGAAAAAAAACTGTCAATAGTAGAACACCTTTACTGACAATAGTAGAACACCAAGATCGACAATAACAGAAAACAAGAACTTTCAATAGTAGAACAACATTACTGACAATGGCAGAACACCTAGATTGGCAAAAGCAGAACAGTTGTATGGAGTGTGTCAATAACAAAACACCTGGGCTGACACATCGACTATTAATAGCAGAACACCAGTTGTAATAACAGAACACTCAGACTCCCAATAGCAGATCACTTAGACTGACCAAAGAAGAACAGTCGCATTTTGTCTGGCAATAGAACACTATTACTTACAAATTTAGAACGCCTGATATGACAAAAGTAGCCCACATAGTTGCCCATTGCAGGACACCATGACTGACAATTTCAGAACGCCTAGACTGTCAATAGCAGAACACATAGACTGGCAATAGAAGGACAAACGGACTGACAAAAATTTCCACAATAGAATATATTGACTATTGATAATCATTTTCTTTACACATCTTGTCTGTAAATAAACTCCCGTGCTGGACACAACATATTCTGCCAAATCACTCTCTCAACATATTGTTTCGGCTTCTACTTGGACGTATCAATATGGTAATCTGTTTAACACCATGCATGCCAATATGCTTCTTTGTTAAACACCTTATCTGTCAATATATTTCTCTGTAAAACACATGGTTTGTCAACATACTTCTTTGTTAAACGCCTTATCTGTCAATATATTTCTCTGTTTAATACCGTGTCTGTCAATATACCTCTCTGTAAAACACTTTGTCTGTCAACATACTTCTCTGTAAACACCTTGTCTGTCAACATACCTCTCTGTTAGATACCGTGTCTGTCAACATACCTCTCTGTTTGATACCGTGTCTGTCAATATACTTCTCTGTAAACACCTTGTCTGTCAACATACCTCTCTGTTAGATACCGTGTCTGTCAACATACCTCTCTGTTTGATACCGTGTCTGTCAATATACTTCTCTGTAAACACCTTGTCTGTCAACATACCTCTCTGTTAGATACCGTGTCTGTCAACATACCTCTCTGTTTGATACCGTGTCTGTCAATATACTTTTCTGTTAAACACCTTGTCTGTCAATATACTTCTCTGTTTAACACATTGTCTGTCAATATACTTTTCTGTTAAACATCTGGTATGGAAAAATAGCTCTTTGTTGAACTCATTTTCTGTCAATAGTTCTGATGTAGAAAGCCAAGAGTGCCAAGAGGTCTGACTACACAACACATTCACTGTCAATTAAACACTGTCTGTCAACAGGTCTCAGTGTCCACGGAACGTTTATACGTGTAGATCGTCTTTGTGCTTTGTGTTGAACGCATTATCCGTCAATTGGCCCCTTTGTCAGTTAAAATGTAACATATTGTAAATCAGTTGACATTGCAGGTTTCCTGAAACGTCAATCTGAAGTTGTATTGAGGTTAGCTGTGTTACAAAGAGAAACGAAAAGCAGAATTATGAGGACAGAAATACATGCTGCACACAAACTCTCTGGTAAATTATCCCGAAGAACTTGTCTAAAACCAATTTGTTTTCACACCATCAATAATATTAGATATGTACATTTTGATATCATTTAACCCTCACTGATGCTGGTGATTACGGTAAACTGGTATTGGAAATGCACAAAGTACAAAGTGGGTATTGGTGGTTGCAAGTAACACGGATGTCAAGTTATTCAAAAGGACATATATCGTCCGTGATGATAAAGCTGAAAATATTTAACAATCACACAAGTACCCTAAGCGTTGGCTATGGTGGTGTACTACACTGACAGCAAACTTAAAGTTAAACGTAAATAAATAGTCTGGCGGCTTGATATATGCTTATTCATGCCCATCGATTCAGCTTGTAAGTGGAAGGGTCATGTTGAGGCGGCCTTTTAATCATCACAAGACTAATCCTTCTCGACTATTGTGACGATATAAAAACAGTTGTATTTGTATGGTTAGACGTGACCATCCTGCTATTAATAACCCTACCCGAAATGTTTGCGTGTAAGAGACGAGTGTGGTGAATACCTGGCTTAAATTCTATCATGGAGCTGAAGCGTTGTGCACCTGTTTTCGTCAGGAGATGGCGTTTAAAAAGCCGGACTATTTTCGTTGTGTTATGTGTTCTCACTGTGGTGATGATGGGGTTGTTACAGAGTAATTTGAAAACTAACCACGAAAAGGTAAAAATTATAACCAACAAGGAGCTAAAAGACCGAGAACATGCAAACGATGACAGACTGACAGAAGGCCGAGAGGGGTTCCGAGATGACCTTCGGAGACTTCAAAGTTTAGTTCTAGTAGATAGTAAAAACAAAAGACAGACTACCGGAAATAAGCATTCGGAAAGAAACCAACGCTCGATTGTAGATGCACATTTTAAATTGTTGAGTGGAAAACCCTCAAACATTGATAAAAGTGAAGGGAACAGGACTTATCAGATAAAGGAGGTTGATAGCAAGAAAAACAATCAAAGCGATAATTATGTAAAGGACGAACAGAAGTCTAACCACAGTGCCAAAGTTGATGTAGTGAACAAAACAAAACACGGGAAATATAATGCTGATGAAAACGACAATGAACAATTGATGGAACAGCTGTTTAAACTGTTGTTAAAACTCGAAAAGGAAGGCGTTGACATAAACGAAGAAATCAGAGTGGCGTCAGGTGAAAAAGTGCCAGCGGATAAACAGCTCCCTTTCCATCCATTACATTATCCTCAAAAATTAAACTTTGAAGAGATAGTGAAAACATTTATTGAAAATGGTGAACTGCCTAAGAACTCGATTAATAAATGGAAGTACACACCAATAATTAACCCATCTAGTAAATGTGAAAATAGCAAAAACGGCGTGTTTGTGTTGTACATGGTGAAGACGAGGCCCGACAATTTTGCGAAGAGAAAGACCATACGTAAAACATGGGCCGACGAACATAGATTTCCGAACATTCGTACCGTGTTTTCCATCGGAATACCTCGGGATTCTAATATTATTAAACAAATAAAACAAGAGTCCTTGAAATACAAAGACGTCCTTCTGATGGATTACATGGACACTTACAAAAATCTTACATTAAAGACAACCAGTGGCATCAACTGGGCGGTGGCACATTGTAATGTGGCCGAATTTGTGGTGTCTGTTGATGATGATATGTATGTGGCTACCGACTTCCTCATACAACACCTAAAGGACATGCCACAAGCAGAGAGTGAGAGGCTCTATCATGGACACCTTTACCACAACACAGAACCAGTCCGATACGGGAAGAAAGACGCTTGGGAAAGTAAGTGGATTGTCACGAGGGAGGAATACCCGTTCGATACCTACCCGGATTACATATTCGGGGGATTTGTTGTGATGTCTATGAGGACGGTGTTGGAGATGAGTTTGGCCATTCCTTACACACAACCCATCAGCATGGAGGATGTTTACCTTGGTATAGTGGCCAGTCGTCTCGGTATTGTGGCAACAAACACCGATCTGGTGGATTATTATATTACCTACTCAAATACAGAGAAATTTAAAACCCTCATCGCTTCTCATTACTACACAAGTTCTCATATGTTAAAGAAAGCTTGGGAATGTCATTTATCGATGGTGAAAAACGATGTAGAAAAGTCAGTATTTTGCCTTTACTTAAAAACAGAACTGCAACAATTAAAACGTAAGGTGGAGGAAATACTCGACTGGGTAGATTTTTCAAACAATGCTCTATAAAAATAAGATGTAAGGAGGATCTCAAAATGATCTATAAATTAAATGGTACAACGGAAAGAAGAAATGGCGGATTAAGCTTCCCAATGACACTGATCCTACTGTCAGAGAGAAGTGTTTAGTGATACTGATCGTTCTGAATAAGCGATGTACACGGGCGCTATAGTGAATTCTTAACTAATACTGACCTAAACGTGGTATTAGGCTCTGAACTGACATTCAACGTTGTAAAACATTTTGGGAAAAGCTAACTTAGCTCTGATCTAAATAGTGACGTAAGCTGACTCTGATTTGATCGTAACTTAATACTAAGCTAAAATGTGATAAGATGATCTATAAAGATCTTATCATAATGTAGAAGTGGTAAGTTAAGCTCTGATCGTAATGTAGAAGTGGTAAGTTAAGCTCTGATCGTAATGTAGAAGTGGTAAGTTAAGCTCTGATCGTAATGTAGAAGTGGTAAGTTAAGCTCTGATCGTAATGTAGAAGTCAGTAAGTTAAGCTCTGATCGTAATGTAGAAGTCAGTAATTTAAGCTCTGATCGTAATGTAGAAGTGGTAAGTTAAGCTCTGATCGTAATGTAGAAGTCAGTAAGTTAAGCTCTGATCGTAAGGTAGGAGTCATAAAGTTAAGCTCTGATCGTAATGTAGAAATGGTAAGTTAAGCTCTGATCGCAATGTAGAAGTCAGAAAGTTAAGCTCTGATCGTTATGTAGAAATCAGTAAGTTAAGCTCTGATCGTAATGTAGAAGTGGTAAGTTAAGCTCTGATCGTAATGTAGAAGTGGTAAGTTAAGCTCTGATCGTAATGTAGAAGTGGTAAGTTAAGCTCTGATCGTAATGTAGAAGTGGTAAGTTAAGCTCTGATCGTAATGTAGAAGTCAGTAAGTTAAGCTCTGATCGTAATGTAGAAGTCAGTAATTTAAGCTCTGATCGTAATGTAGAAGTGGTAAGTTAAGCTCTGATCGTAATGTAGAAGTCAGTAAGTTAAGCTCTGATCGTAAGGTAGGAGTCATAAAGTTAAGCTCTGATCGTAATGTAGAAATGGTAAGTTAAGCTCTGATCGCAATGTAGAAGTCAGAAAGTTAAGCTCTGATCGTTATGTAGAAATCAGTAAGTTAAGCTCTGATCGTAATGTAGAAGTGGTAAGTTAAGCTCTGATCGTAATGTAGAAGTCATAAAGTTTAGCTCTGATCGTAAGGTAGAAGTCATAAAGTTTAGCTCTGATCGTAATGTAGAAATGGTAAGTTAAGCTCTGATCGTAATGTAGAAGTAGTAAGTTAAGCTCTGATCGTAATGTAGAAGTCAGTAAGTTAAGCTCTGATCGTAAGGTAGGAGTCATAAAGTTAAGCTCTGATCGTAATGTAGAAATAGTAAGTTAAGCTCTGATTGTAATGTAGAAGTGGTAAGTTAAGCTCTGATCGTAATGTAGAAGTCAGTAAGTTAAGCTCTGATCGTAATGTAGAAGTGGTAAGTTAAGCTCTGATCGTAATGTAGAAGTGGTAAGTTAAGCTCTGATCGTAATGTAGAAATCAGTAAGTTAAGCTCTGATCGTAAGGTAGGAGTCATAAAGTTAAGCTCTGATCGTAATGTAGAAGTCAGTAAGTTAAGCTCTGATCGTAATGTAGAAGTGGTAAGTTAAGCTCTGATCGTAATGTAGAAGTGGTAAGTTAAGCTCTGATCGTAATGTAGAAGTCAGTAAGTTAAGCTCTGATCGTAATGTAGAAGTGGTAAGTTAAGCTCTGATCGTACAAATAGTAATGAAAAAAACTGACTAAGCTCTCATCGTATTTAGAAGTTAGCTGGCTCAGCTCTGACCGTAATCTGACTTAGTTCTTATCGAAATGTAGAAGTAAGTTAAGCTCTGATCGTAACGTAGAAGTAAGCTAACTATGCTTCGATCGTAATTTAAAAGTCAGCATAAGCTCTAAGCGTAATTCGGAAGTAATGTGACTAAGCTCAAACCGTTATGCAGACTAAGCTGACTAAGCTCTCATCGTATTTCAGAATTAAGTCGACTAAGCTGTGTTCGTAATAAAGAAGTACCTAAATGCAGAAATGAGCTCTCTAATGATTGAAGTGTATGAATGAGCTCAAAAGATTGGATCATTAGAGGAAAGCCTTTCAAGGATACTGATATTTTAGTAAAAATAAACTCTGTAGTGCATGTAGAAGTAAATTTAACACTGACGTTGATCGAAACGTAGATGGCAGTCTTGTATCGACTCTGAGTGAAAGATAGGAGTAAGGTCTATTGTTTCGCTGTACAAAATGTGTGAGAAAGCGCAATTGTACTCTAGGGAAGCTGACAAACCTGTTGACACATGAAGCGCCTAATTGACACCGATGGAGATCTGTTGGCCATGACAGAGGGACTGACTTGTATTTATAAGCTGAAGTGACATTGGTTCGTTCATATATTGTGAACTCTAGCGGAGATTATGACGGGCATTCAAAAGCAAAATCTAACCTACTGATAGATACATAGTATGTTAGACTTCTTTTTATCTTCAATAAGGAATAAACTGTCTGACTACATCGATATACATCTAGAATTGAACATTGTGACGACAATCATGTCAGGATTAAGCTCTCTGACCACACTAGTATAAAACTAGGAGTGAGTTCCCAAGTAAAGCTTGTATACTATTAGGAGTGAGCTTTCTGATGACAGTTGTATACACGAGGAATGAGCTAGTAATCATGAGGTGAGCTCAATGTTGTCAAGTATACGCCTAGGAGTGAGTTCTCTAGTGAAACTAGTAAATATCTCCGAGTTCTCTGGTCACACTGGTATACAGCTAGGAGTAGAGTAAATTCTCTGGTCACACCAGTATTCTGCTGGTCACACTAGTATATATCTTGGAGTGAACTCTGTGGTACCTGTAGAAAATTCAGTGGTAAGCTTTCTGTTGGAACGAGTGTACATATAGGAGTAGGCTTTCTAGTGCCACAAGCATACATCTAAGATTGATCTCTGTGGTGACACTAACAGCTAGAAATGAGCTCTGGTGACGCTAGTGTAAAGCTAGGAGTGCACTCCCGAGTGACACCAGCATTCAGCTAGGAATTAACTCCCTAGTGACACCAGCATTCAGCTAGGAGTGCACTAACAAATGACACCAGCATTCAGCTCGGAATGAACTCCCGAGTGACACCAGCATTCAGCTAGGAATGAACTCCCTGGTAACACGATAGTACATTTTTGAGTTAGTTTTCAAGCATCCATAATGACATCCGAAACAGAACAACACCATTATGAGTAAGTTCTCCGGTGACACTGATAATACTCAAAAGAGAACTATATGATGAGGGGGTGATTACGTTATTTTCTTGTTACAAAATATTTTTGTTGTTAGAAAATAAACTATTTTCGAAATGTTTTCAAATCATTCGGAGTCGAATCTTTGTAGGGCGGATTGATTTTGTCGTTGACCAATGAGAGGCCGTGTTCCAAATTCGAAACCTTATAACCACTAGGAATACACCATTTATGTCACATTTCCGGTATGTTTTCCGAGTTTTCAAATGGTAGACGTTGTTTTAGTTGATGGTTGATGAGAGTTGCTGGCGGCCATTGTATATATACACAGTGGGCATGGAAGGACAACGCAGTTTTCGCGGGGATGACTGCCTCTCTAACAATACGAATGGGAAGTAAGTTGGTGCAGTGGTAATTCACCTTTCACCTTGGAAACTTGATAAGTCACGAGGTAAGGTAAAAACATATCCAATGTGTTCAGCCAGGCCAACTAGAGTGACTGGACAAAGTTACTGTAAAATAAAGACTTGTCGGATTGAGCCCATGATATCTACGTCAGCTGGAAATTCCGTTCCCTTGCCAAATTTTATAGTTTTGCCCAAGTCCATATATCTGCTCCTCAAACCCCTACCCCATCTCCATCCAAACCATACAAATCTTTCAGACGGGTCCTTCCTCCCTCAGTCCCAAGTCTGATGTCTCTCCTTTGTCCCTCAGACTGATACTTTTGGTCCTGGAGTACCCATCATCCAGTCGGTGTAAAGCCACTGAAATCCCACATAGACCGATCCCAGCCATAATCCTTTTGTTCCTGGTGTATCCATCACCCTGTCGGTGTAAAGCCACTGAAATCCCACATAGACCGATCACAGCCCTAATCCTTTTATTCCTGGTGTATCCATCACCCTGTCGGTGTAAAGCCACTGAAATCCCACATCGACCGATCACAGCCCTAATCCTTTTGTTCCTGGAGTACCCATCACCCTATCGGTGTAAAGCCACTGAAATCCCACATAGACGGATCGCAGCCCTAATCCTTTGGTTCCTGGTGTACCCATCACCCCGTCGGTGTAAAGCCACTGAAATCCCAATATAGACGGATCGCAGCCCTAATACTTTTGCTCCGAGAGTACCCATCACCCTGTCGGTGTAAAGCCACTGAAATCCCACATAGACGGATCGCAGCCCTAATCCTTTTGCTCCTGGTGTACCCATCACCCCGTCGGTGTAAAGCCACTGAAATCCCACATAGACGGATCGCAGCCCTAATACTTTTGCTCCGAGTGTACCCATCACCCTGTCGGTGTAAATCCACTGAAATCCCACATAGACGGATCGCAGCCCTAATCCTTTTATTCCTGGTGTATCCATCACCCTGTCAGTGTAAAGCCACTGAAATCCCACATCGACCGATCACAGCCCTAATCCTTTTGTTCCTGGAGTACCCATCACCCTGTCGGTGTAAAGCCACTGAAATCCCACATAGACGGATCGCAGCCCTAATCCTTTGGTTCCTGGTGTACCCATCACCCCGTCGGTGTAAAGTCACTGAAATCCCAATATAGACGGATCGCAGCCCTAATACTTTTGCTCCGAGAGTACCCATCACCCTGTCGGTGTAAAGCCACTGAAATCCCACATAGACGGATCGCAGCCCTAATCCTTTTGCTCCTGGTGTACCCATCACCCCGTCGGTGTAAAGCCACTGAAATCCCAATATAGACGGATCGCAGCCCTAATACTTTTGCTCCGAGAGTACCCATCACCCTGTCGGTGTAAAGCCACTGAAATCCCACATAGACGGATCGCAGCCCTAATCCTTTTGCTCCTGGTGTACCCATCACCCCGTCGGTGTAAATCCACTGAAATCCCACATAGACGGATCGCAGGCTTAAAGCTGGTCAGAGGAGAATCAAATAACACGCATGGTGGCAATGAAATATGTTTATATTACATAGAAGTCGGTACAAACGAAAAAAGTAAATTTTAGATAGTCCTCACCTTTACCGTACTTACAAAAGGTCACGACTCACCGACTTAACTTTGTGTTAATATTGTTGTTGGTTTAAATTATATTGACTGATTTAGGTAAGAAAAATGTGTGTAATTAGTTCGTCAAGAACAAACATTTCGTTACAATACTACAGACAATAGTAGACGTTTGGTCTGTACACAGGAACATTGGATTAACCAGTATGTCGCGGCCACACGCCATTATGAAACCTCTGTGGTATGTGCCGATCTCACTTATAAGAAAACGCTCATATTTCGGAGTATTATACTTTCTCATCATTGCTATGTTTGGTGTTTTGCACTGGAACATAAAAACTGACCAAGAAAAATTGTTAAATGATATTTACAAGGCCAAATCGGAAGTCGAGGCCCTAAATGAAAAGGAGCGTGATGTGCAGTCAGTGTTAAGAACAATACATTCATGGAATACAACGAGACATCAAAGTCTGGTGTTGATAGACGACAGGAAATACCCTTTGTACGCAAGAAAGCGTTCGTCTTTAGACAGAGAAGGAGCGAAGGAGAACACAGATCGAGATAATAATGTAAGTATTCTAACTAATGGGAGTTTTGGTTATAACAACATGACTAAGACTCACAACAAGACAGCAAGTCTGAAATCTTTAACCTTTAAGCACACGGATCTCTACAAAGTGAAGTCTAACGCCAAAAAAAAGCAACAAGAATTGGTGAATTTACTTGTCAGTCGTTTGTTGCAGCTCGCTAACGAAGGCAAGAAGAAGTCAGAAAAACGTTATAATGAATGGCTTCCATTTAATGCCTCGCAATACCCTCAAACAATAAACGCTAAAAACTTGCTGCAGCCTTCAGTCGACAATGAAGATATCCCTACACACCCTATCAATAAGTGGAAATACACACCAGTAATCAATCCCTTTGCCAAATGTAAAAGCAGCCGAAGTGGTGTATTCTTGCTGTTCATTGTTAAAACCAAACCAGAAAATTTTGTCAAAAGAAAGACCATACGAGAAACATGGGCCGACGAACTTAGATTTCCGAACATTCGTACCGTGTTTTCCATCGGAATACCTCGGGATTCGAATACTATCAAACAAATAAAACAAGAGTTCTTGAAATACAAAGACGTCCTTCTGATGGATTACATGGACACTTACAAAAATCTTACATTAAAGACAACCAGTGGCATCAACTGGGCGGTGGCACATTGTAATGTGGCCGAATTTGTGGTGTCTGTTGATGATGATATGTATGTGGCTACCGACTTCCTCATACAACACCTAAAGGACATGCCACAAGCAGAGAGTGAGAGGCTCTATCATGGACACCTTTACCACAACACAGAACCAGTCCGATACGGGAAGAAAGACGCTTGGGAAAGTAAGTGGATTGTCACGAGGGAGGAATACCCGTTCGATACCTACCCGGATTACATATTCGGGGGATTTGTTGTGATGTCTATGAGGACGGTGTTGGAGATGAGTTTGGCCATTCCTTACACACAACCCATCAGCATGGAGGATGTTTACCTTGGTATAGTGGCCAGTCGTCTCGGTATTGTGGCAACAAACACCGATCTGGTGGATAATTATGGCACATATTCAAATGTAAAGAAATTCAAAACTCTCATCGCCTCTCATTACTACCCGAGTGCTGTTTTGCTCAGGAAAGCTTGGGAATGGCATTTATCAATTGTGAAAAACGATATACATAAGTCAGAATTTAGTCGTTATTTAAAGATCGAGTTAGAACAATTAAAGAAAAAAGTAGATGATATATTGTATTGGATAAATATTACGGATAATCGAGGACCATATGGAAGATTAGCCGTTGGCTAAATATGTAATCCTCAGAAAATGAAGTTTATTATTATATTATTATTACTATCGTGATAATCTCTTCTAGAGACTGCGTTTGTTAACGTTAACTCAAGACAGTGATTAACAGCGACCTGATCTGTTAACACGAGACGGTGAGAGAACTCGCCTGTTGACACGAGAAACTAACTTTGCCTGTAAACAAGAGACAGTGAGTTCGTCTGTAACAGAGAGACAGGGACTTCGTCTGTAAACAAGAGACAGTGAGCTTGTCTGTAAATAAGAAACAGCGAGCTTGTCTGTAAACACTGTAAACAAGAGACAGTAAGATCGTTTGTAACAGAGAGACAGGTAGCTTGTCTGTCAAAGGAGACAGTGAGCTTGTCTGTAAACAAGAGACAGTGAGCTTGTCTGTAAACACTGTAAACAAGAGACAGTAAGATCGTTTGTAACAGAGAGACAGTGAGCTTGTCTGTCAAAGGAGACAGTGAGCTTGTCTGTAAACAAGAGACAGTGAGCTTGTCTGTAAACAAGAGACAGTGAGCTTGTCTGTAAACAAGAGACAGTAAGATCGTTTGTAACAGAGAGACAGTGAGCTTGTCTGTCAAAGGAGACAGTGAGCTTGTCTGTAAACAAGAGATAGTGAGCTTGTCTGTAACAGAGAGACAGGGACTTCGTTTGTGTTTAAAATAGAGACACCCGATCGAAACGACAAAGTGACTTTGTCAATCCGACACAGTGACCGTATCAATACATGTCTTTACTGATATCGATAAAAGGAAATATATCAAGCCACATATGTACATTGTTTACGTCTTAATGATGAAATGAAGGTTATTGATGAGATCCAAGCTTTTACCATATATCTTAGGTCTCCATAATACATATTGACGATATGACTAAGATATGTCGTATGTAGGAATAAAAGATTCGAAAGACAAGATTTGTACAACATTTCATTAAAAATACGATATGTAGATTGTACATAATTGATATAAGGAGTTTTTGTATATCATGATGCAAGTAGCCAGGTTTGATATTTCAAAATATGCATTGTTAATTCTACGAGACAATGATTATAACACGTGCAGTAGGCTTGGTGTGTTGAATAACAGTTGAGAAATCATTAATGAATGCGATTTGAGAGTCGTTGTAATGTTGAATGACACCATTTACTTATCTTCGTCCCGAACACGGATCTTGTTAAAGCACAGACATGTTGTACAATGTTATTGCGGTCAACATTTTGACTGGGTATTATCTCGTCACAACTAAACTCAATACTGTCGACTTTAAATTGCTTTAAATACAAGCATTCAGGAGAGCAATATGCTCCCTAAAAACAGCGGAGAAACCGACTCGTATCGTCTGTCGGTCATGGCTTTAGGACCTTCTTGTATTGAGTGCAAACTTTAGCAAGTGTCACATGACAAGTGTTTATGATTATGATAACGTTACAATAAAGTCAGCTATAGGCGTTCATTCAAACATGGTAGATAATTACTAACAGTCTGTTCATTTATCCACTTAAAGATTTAAATATTCACGCGGAACTGTAGAGAAGGCGCAAGCCGATAATTATTTGCAAACATAAAGCTTTATCTAGACGGGAGCTTTACCTTTAAACATGTAGCTTTATTTGGACGACAACTTTATCTGCAAATATCTATTTTTATCTGGACGAACACATTATCGGGTAATATATAACTTGATGTGAGAGAGCCTTACCGGTAAACATTTAACTTTATCTTGATTGAAGCGTTACCGATAAACTATAACTTTATCCTGACGAGAGCTTTACCGTTAAATATTTAAATTTATCTTAACGGAATCGATATTAATAAACATCTAGCTTTATCTGGACAGATTCGTTATCAGTAAATACTTAATTTTATGATAACGGGGGCGTTACAAGCTAAAATTAGATAAACCTTTAACTTTATCTGGACGGGAATGTTACCAGTAAATGTCTAACTTTGTCTTGACGAAGGCATTACCGGTAAACATCTAGCTTTACCTGGACGGAACAGTAACCGGTAAATATCTAAATTTATCTAGACGAATGTGTTACCGGTAAACATCTAACTTTATCTCGATGGGAACGTTACCAGTAAACATTGAACTTTATCAACCCGAAAATGTTACCGGTAAAATCTTACTATATATGAAGGGGAGTGTTAATTCTAAACATCCTGCTTTATCTTGACGGGGCGTGACGGGTAAACACCCTACTTTATCTTGACGGGACATGACCAGTAAAAATGCTATTTATCTTGACGGGGCGTGACCGGTAAACATCCTACTTTATCTTGACGGGGCTTTACCGGTAAACATCCTACTTTATCTTGACGGGGCGTGACCGGTAACATCTTACTTTATCTTGACGGGGCGTGACCGGTAACATCTTACTTTATCTTGACGGGGATTGACCGGTAACATCCTACTTTATCTTGACGGGGCGTGACGGGTAAACACCCTACTTTATCTTGACGGGCGTGACCGGTAAACCCCTTACTTTTTCCTGACGGGGCGTGACCGGTAAACATTCTACTTTATCTTGACAGGGCGTGACGGGTAAACACCCTTCTTTATCTTGACGGGGCGTGACCGGTAACTTCTTACTTTATCTTGACGGGGATTGACCGGTAACATCCTACTTTATCTTGACTGGGCGTGACGGGTTCTTTATCTTGACGGGGCGTGACCGGTGAACATCCTACTTTATCTTGACTGGGCGTGACGGGTAAACACCCTACTTTATCTTGACGGGGCGTGACCGGTAAACATACTACTTTATCTTGACGAGGCGTGACCGGTGAACATTCACTTTATCTTGTCTGGGCGTGACCGGTAAACACCCTACTTTATCTTGACGGGGCGTGACCGGTAAACATATAACTTTATCTTGACGGAAGTGTAACCGGTAAACATCTGTCATTGTCCTCATTTTCGGGACTAGTTTTACAGATTCCACTGACATCGTTCAAGTCAAACATGTGATTATATGTGAAGTTCTGCTCTCGGAATGCATTTTTGAAAAGATTTCGAAGACGAGCGTAATCGGGTTTCTCTTCAAATTTCAGTGATCGACAAATATTTAGATATTCTGAGAATTCCACCGGAAGTCCTTTACATAGTTCTGCCACTGTTATAGACCGTTTTACCTCTAACTTTTTATCGCGCTGTCGGCTCTCAATTTTGGATTTCATCCCCTGCCAAGGCAATTTACCTTTCAGGAAGTATACAAGAACATACCTAATGACTCCATGTCGTCCCTCCGACTCTGCTGATAGCCCTCATGTGCCCTCAGACTACTGTACCTTTCTGTACCAGTGAAACCAACATATCGGTTCGACACGTGCTTACCAGAGTTTCGGTCGATGTAACGCATTGCAAAACTGAAGTCAATATTATAGATGATATGTTTTTTATCGCCCAGTCCTACGACAAAGTTTGAGGGCGACACGTCTCTGTGGAGAAAACCCTTCAGATGTAGGTATTGAAGTCTGCTTATCATCTGATCAGCTAGCAGTAAAGTAGTCTTTAAACTAAATCAGTAATTACACAACTCAAAATACTTCTGCAAATTGAGACCTAAAAGTTCCATCACCAAGATGTTGTAGCCGCCCTCTCTCCCACTCCATCTGGCGGTCGGAAAACCTTTCTCGCCTTCAAGAGCCCGGTAAATATTGCCTTCCTTCCTAACTGTGCTGTTTATATTCACGAAACGGTCAATTTTGACAGCAACATTTTCACCATTAGCCATGTCGATTCCAAGATTGATGCGCTCGAAAGTTCCACTACCGATTCTCCTACAGAGAAGAAATCTCTTCCCAACCTTCTGAACAACTACTGGAATAGGAAGATAAACAACGTTAATTATGTTCATCAATAACTATTTATAGAATGTTATATGAAAGCGAATGTTATCATAGTTTAATGGAATCAAGATCATGGCTTTTACACGTATATTTACTGATCGCTGAGTATGGTAACTAGAGTTATCCCCCTTTTGTCGGCCGACATTCTAGGAAAAACCCACGTATTTTAATTAATTGAAAAAATAGAGGCTAAGAAAAGAAAAGGATAGAGGGATTACAACCTACTAGATATAGATATACATCAGCGAGATACATAAGTATTTTTATCACAAAAAATAATTTCGCATTAATTCCGGGAGCAAGGCAAAAGCTTAAATTAAAGAAAAAAGAATCTGAAATATTAACCCATAAATGACAATACAGAGATACGAACTCAACTTACCATTCGTTCCGTTTGTTCTGGCTATCTTGTCGCTATTGTTACCTGTTATAATGTCCAGATGATGGACAGTCTCCCCAGTCTTGGAATGATCTCTCGTCTTTGGTTTGAGAATGACCCTCACTTGTCGGCGGACAATGACACCGTCCTCACAGTCTTGTCTCCCTCTGAGGACCCTCACATGTTGGTGGAAAATGACGGCAAAGTCCTCCACAGTTTGTCGAAAATCATCCTCAGAACTGACGGATGAGGAATTTTGACAAAGGTGAGGGAGTCCTCACAGTCTTGTAATATAGAGGACCCTCACATGTTGTTGAGAAAATGATCCTCACTTATCGGCATCATAAAGACACAGTCCTCACAGTCTTGTCTCCCTCTGAGGACCCTCACATGTCTGTGGATAATGACCCTCTATTGTCCGTGGATAAAGACACAGTCCTCACAGTCTTTTCTCCCTCTGAGGACCCTCACATGTTGGTGGAAAATGATGCAGTCCTCACAGTCTTGTCTCCCTCTGAGGACCCTCACATGTTGGTGGAAAATGACGCAGTCCTCACAGTCTTGTCTCCCTCTGAGGACCCTCACATATCTGTTGAGAATGACCCTCACTTGTCGGCGGATAAAGACACAGTCCTCACAGTCTTGTCTCCCTCTGAGGACCCTCACATGTTGGTGGAAAATGACGCAGTCCTCACAGTCTTGTCTCCCTCTGAGGACCCTCACATGTTGGTGGAAAATGACACAGTCCTCACAGTCTTGTCTCCCTCTGAGGACCCTCACATGTTGGTGGATAAAAACACAGTCCTCACAGTCTTGTCTCCCTCTGAGGACCCTCACATGTTGGTGGAAAATGAGGCAGTCCTCACAGTCTTGTCTCCCTCTGAGGACCCTCACATGTTGGTGGAAAAGACACAGTCCTCACAGTCTTGTCTCCCTCTGAGGACCCTCACATGTTGGGGGAAAATGACGCAGTCCTCACAGTCTTGTCTCCCTCTGAGGACCCACACATGTTGGTGGAAAATGACGCAGTCCTCACATTCTTGACTCCCTCTGAGGACCCTCACATGTTGGTGGAAACCCTCTTGTACGGATAATCAGACACAGTCCTCACAGTCTTGTCTCCCTCTGAGGACCCTCACATGTTGGTGGAAAATGAAGCAGTCCTCACAGTCTTGTCTCCCTCTGAGGACCCTCACATGTCAGCGGATAAAGACACAGTCCTCACAGTCTTGTCTCCCTCTGAGGACCCTCACTTGTCGGCGGATAAAGACACAGTCCTCACAGTCTTGTCTCCCTCTGAGGACCCTCTCATGTTGGTGGTAAATGACGCAGTCCTCACAGTCTTGTCTCCCTCTGAGGACCCTCACATGTTGGTGGAAAATGACACAGTCCTCACAGTCTTGTCTCCCTCTGAGGACCCTCACATGTTGGTGGAAAATGACGCAGTCCTCACAGTCTTGTCTCCCTCTGAGGACCCTCACATATCTGTTGAGAATGACCCTCACTTGTCGGCGGATAAAGACACAGTCCTCACAGTCTTGTCTCCCTCTGAGGACCCTCACATGTTGGTGGAAAATGACACAGTCCTCACAGTCTTGTCTCCCTCTGAGGACCCGCACATGTTGGTGGAAAATGACACAGTCTTTGCAGTCTTGTCTCCCTCTGAGGACCCTCATATGTTGGTAGAAAATGACGCAGTCCTCACAGTCTTGTCTCCCTCTGAGGACCCTCACATGTTGGTGGAAAATGACGCAGTCCTCACAGTCTTGTCTCCCTCTGAGGACCCTCACATGTTGGTGGAAAATGACGCAGTCCTCACAGTCATGTCTCCCTCTGAGGACCCTCACATGTTGGTGGAAAATGACGCAGTCCTCACAGTCTTGTCTCCCTCTGAGGACCCTCACATGTTGGTGGAAAATGACACAGTCCTCACAGTCTTGTCTCCCTCTGAGGACCCTCACATGTTGGTGGAAAATGACGCAGTCCTCACAGTCTTGTCTCCCTCTGAGGACCCTCACATATCTGTTGAGAATGACCCTCACTTGTCGGCGGATAAAGACACAGTCCTCACAGTCTTGTCTCCCTCTGAGGACCCTCACATGTTGGTGGAAAATGACGCAGTCCTCACAGTCTTGACTCTCCCTCTGAGGACCCTCACATGTTGTTGACGCAGTCCTCACAGTCTTGAGACCCTCACATGACCATAAAGACACAGTCTTCACAGTCTTGTCTCCCTCTGAGGACCCTCACATGTTGGTGGAAAATGACACAGTCCTCACAGTCTTGTCTCCCTCTGAGGACCCTCACATGTTGGTGGAAAATGATGCAGTCCTCACAGTCTTGTCTCCCTCTGAGGACCCTCACATGTCTGTGGATAATGACCCTCTATTGTCCACGGATAAAGACACAGTCCTCACAGTCTTGTCTCCCTCTGAGGACACTCACATGTTGGTGGAAAATGACGCAGTCCTTACAGTCTTGTCTCCCTCTAAGGACCCTCACATATCTGTTGAGAATGACCCTCACTTGTCGGCGGATAAAGACACAGTCCTCACAGTCTTGTCTCCCTCTGAGGACCCTCACATGTTGGTGGAAAATGACACAGTCCTCACAGTCTTGTCTCCCTCTGAGGACCCTCACATGTTGGTGGAAAATGACGCAGTCCTCACAGTCTTGTCTCCCTCTGAGGACCCTCACATGTTGGTGGAAAAAGACACAGTCCTCACAGTCTTGTCTCCCTCTGAGGACCCTCACATGTTGGTGGAAAATGACGCAGTCCTCACAGTCTTGTCTCCCTCTGAGGACCCTCACATGTCTGTGGATAAAGACACAGTCCTCACAGTCTTGTCTCCCTCTGAGGACCCTCACATGTTGGTGGAAAATGACACAGTCCTCACAGTCTTGTCTCCCTCTGAGGACCCTCACATGTTGGTGGAAAATGACGCAGTCCTCACAGTCTTGTCTCCCTCTGAGGACCCTCACATATCTGTTGACAGCCCTCACACTCTTGTCTCCACTTTCTGAGGACCCTCACATGTTGGGAAAAAGACACAGTCCTCACAGTCTTGTCTCCCTCTGAGGACCCTCACATGTTGGTGGAAAAAGACACGGTCCTCACAGTCTTGTCTCCCTCTGAGGACCCTCACATGTGGTGGAAAATCAGTCCTCACAGTCTTGTCTCCCTCTGAGGACCCTCACATATCTGTTGAGAATGACCCTCACTTGTCGGCGGATAAAGACACAGTCCTCACAGTCTTGTCTCCCTCTGAGGACCCTCACATGTTGGTGGAAAATGACACAGTCCTCACAGTCTTGTCTCCCTCTGAGGACCCTCACATGTTGGTGGAATATGACACAGTCCTCACAGTCTTGTCTCCCTCTGAGGACCCTCACATGTTGGTGGAAAATGACACAGTCCTCACAGTCTTGTCTCCCTCTGAGGACCCTCACATGTTGGTGGAAAATGATGCAGTCCTCACAGTCTTGTCTCCCTCTGAGGACCCTCACATGTCTGTTGAGAATGACCCTCACTTGTCGGCGGATAAAGACACAGTCCTCACAGTCTTGTCTCCCTCTGAGGACCCTCACATGTTGGTGGAAAATGACACAGTCCTCACAGTCTTGTCTCCCTCTGAGGACCCTCACATATCTGTTGAGAATGACCCTCACTTGTTGGCGGATAAAGACACAGTCCTCACAGTCTTGTCTCCCTCTGAGGACCCTCACATGTTGGTGGAAAATGACGCAGTCCTCACAGTCTTCTCTCCCTCTGAGGACCCTCACATGTTGGTGGAAAATGAAGCAGTCCTCACAGTCTTGACTCCCTCTGAGGACCCTCACATGTTGGTGGAAAATGATGCAGTCCTCACAGTCTTGTCTCCCTCTGAGGACCCTCACATGTTGGTGGAAAATGACACAGTCCTCACAGTCTTGTCTCCCTCTGAGGACCCTCACATGTTGGTGGAAAATGACGCAGTCCTCACAGTCTTGTCTCCCTCTGAGGACCCTCACATATCTGTTGAGAATGACCCTCACTTGTCGGCGGATAAAGACACAGCCCTCACAGTCTTGTCTCCCTCTGAGGACCCTCACATGTTGGTGGAAAATGACACAGTCCTCACAGTCTTGTCTCCCTCTGAGGACCCTCACATGTTGGTGGAAAATGACACAGTCCTCACAGTCTTGTCTCCCTCTGAGGACCCTCACATGTTGGTGGAAAATGACACAGTCCTCACAGTCTTGACTCCCTCTGAGGATCCTCGCATATCTGTTGAGAATGACCCTCACCTGTCGGCGGATAAAGACACAGTCCTCACAGTCTTGTCTCCCTCTGAGGACCCTCACATGTTGGTGGAAAATGACGCAGTCCTCACAGTCTTGTCTCCCTCTGAGGACCCTCGCAGGTTGGTGGAAAATGACACAGTCCTCACAGTCTTGTCTCCCTCTGAGGACCCTCACATGTTGGTGGAAAATGACACAGTCCTCACAGTCTTGTCTCCCTCTGAG